TTTTCGTGGTCTTTAAACTGAAATTAGTATCAGATTTATTTCTACATACCCAAAAAAGATAAGGGAGAATGCAAGTGCAACCTATGTAACTAAAAGTAAAACAAATATCTCATTTCAGATTTAGGAGACCAAGGCTCTGCAGGCTAAAAATTTGGAGGTTGAAGCCTCCCTGGTGGCACGATGGGTTAAAGCACAGCATTATGAAGCCTTCTACAGCCAATGTAGATCCCTAGAGACTGTTTGATCCCTAGCCAGGAGCTGACCCACATGGCACAGCAGATTTCTCCTGTCTCACCCCCTGCTCCCCTCAGTGGTGTACTTCGTGGATCTGCCTCTTCTGCTCCCCATTCTGTCTCTGGTGAATCCTCTCATCCCCTGCATCTTTGGCCTGTACCCCAGTTCTTGTATGCATAAATAAATATTTTAAAAGGCCCACCCTGGTGGCGCAGCGGGTTAAAGCACAGCACTAAGAAGCTAAAGCCACTTCCGCATGAGTTCGATTCCCACCTGCCCCGGAGGTGGCCATATGGCGCGGCAGACCTCTCCTGACCCGCCCGCTGCTCCCCTCAGCAGTGTACTTTGTGGATCTGCCTGTTCTGCTCCCCGCTCTGTCTCTGGTGAAGCCTCTTGCCGCCCCTACACCTCTGGCCTGTACCCCAGTTCTGTATACATAAATAAATAAATCTTAAAAAAAAAGTTAAAAAAAGTTAAAAGTTGGAGGTCTACTCTATTCCAAATAAAGTGCTTTCTACCTCCCTACATCCAGGCTTTACACTGAGTTGTACACCAAAATGTTCTCCCACCACCCCCCACTCTAAAATGGAGGTGCTGATTCTATTGTCAGACTCACTTCAATGTTTTTTAAGGGGTAAAGATAGTGTACATATTTGGATCCCACTGATGTAGCACAGCTGTTTTCACATATTTAAGACAAGAATGTAGAAAACAGCAAAGAAAAAAAGGCCTTGAGACTTAGGTTTTATTAAATTATGATGACTTTCTTTGCCTCTAATTGTCTATCATAAATCTTCACAACCAGTGCAATCAGATCTTCTCAGGTAGCAGGAATCTCCCAGTCAGGACACTATATATATAATCTACCTAACCTTGCTAGGCGATCTCTAACTAACCACTAGAAAAATACAGGCTAAGAATGGACTAGAAGCCCTATCTTTCTGGATTTTCACTACCTTCTGACTACTTTGATACCAAAGCCCAGAGACGATTAAGCAGCCTGATACTATTCCATATTTGTTGATGATAACCGCCCATGATTACTGTTTCAGTATACCAGTCCTGCTATTCTTGCAGTGTGCAAAAGAGTAGAAGCTATGATGTGAGAAAAATCCAAACTGTGGTTTGCATTTATTTCTCCCTTCTGGAAAGATTTATAAATCTAGGCCATAAAATATTCCCTAACAGGGCCCTCCCTGGTGGCGCAGCGGGTTAAAGCACTGCACTGAGAAACTAAAGCCGCTTCCGCATGAGTTCGATTCCCGCCTGCCCCGGAGGTGACCACATGGCGTGGCAGACCTCTCCTGACCCGCCCGCTGCTCCCCTCAGCAGTGTACTTCATCGATCTGCCTGTTCTGCTTCCCGCTCTGTCTCTGGTGAATCCTCTCACCCTCCGCATCTCTGGCCTGTACCCCAGTTCTGTATGAATAAATAAATAAATCTTTAAAAAAAAAAAAAAAATATTCCCTAACATTTCTCCACATACCAATGTGTTTTTTCTGAAGTTTACATAGAAAATTTTTTTAAAGAATTATTTTATTTATTTATGTAATAGGAACTGGAGTATATGCAAGAGGTATGAGGGGTGAGAGGATTCACCAGAGACAGAGTGGGGAACAGAATAGGTGGACTGACTGAAATACACCGCTGCGCGGAGCAGCGGGGAGACACCATGTGAGTCAAGTCTCCCTGGCTGGGAATCAAATTCATGCCATAGTGACTGGCGATAGCTTGATGGCACTGAGACTTTAACCCCAGTGCCACCAGGGAAGCCCTACATTGAAGTTTTATGACTATAAGTGTCTTATCAATTCTATAAATAGATTTGGGTGCATTAAATGATGCAAATGGTACTTACACATAAAGGTCCATAGGAAATTCCTTCATCATGTGTGTTACAATAAACTCTACCATCAAGTCTGAAAGGAGAAAAATAGTATCAATCAGAATGAAATTCATTACTTCGAATTAGAATAAACTTTCTATCTATCCTTTGCACTCATGGTGAATGGCATCCACTAACATCTGTATTCACATGTACTTAAAATGATTTTATATAAGATACTTCTTGCAACACTTTTAATCGCCTGCCACTTGTAAAGTAACAAGAAAATTTGTTCACTCTTCTACTTCAGAAGGACACCTTGAACTGCCAATAAATTCAGATACGAGAGATTTCACTGTACAGATATTTCAAACCGTGGCACTAATACAAAATGCCAAAGGGAAATCAAATTCTGAGAACTGAGTGATGAGGCAAGCAGACAAGAAATTATGGATCACACTTGTGTAACCAGAGACTCAGCTCTAAAGTTATGTCAATCTGTTTCATCTCAGTAGCATGCTCAATTTGACAGGTATTGACTGAAATGGTCTGTGGGACTTTGGGTCAATAGAGGCTTATTATATACTCTAAATTACTGTTTCTAAAATCAGGTAGATTTAGGAACCAGAGCTGCATATCCAAGTGAAATGGGTTTAAGAGTTCAGATCATTCCCCTAAGGAGAATGCACAGAATTCTGGGGAGACAAAATTACCCCTATTCATCAGCTATGTTAGCCTCATCTTAGCTTAACTTACTCTAAGAAAGTTTTATATGTCTGAACCTTGAACTTCCACCCTCCTGGCCAGCTGACATTTTAATTTAAACAAAAAAGGAGAGAAGAAATTTATAATCTTGATCAGAAGTAAAATATTCTACAAATTAAATCACATATCAAGCTTAGACTCAGCCTTGAACAACAGCACATTTTTATTGTGCATTCTATTCACTGGGGTTATTTTAACAAACTTGACAGTAAATGTGGCTTCTTAGGTCAGGGAAGAAATACAACAAATAACTCTGTCTGAGAAGAAGCACTTCAACCAGATTCTACCTCTCCTACTAATCATAAATATCTTTCCCTGGCTCAAAAAAAATGCCAATTTTAATGGTACTCACCCAACACTGCACAGACTAAAGGACGGCAGGGAAGATTCTTATCTGCTGCCTTCTTCCTATGTCTCATAGGCTTGATACACAAAAAGAAACAAACTTAGTATACACCTGAACAGATACCCAAAGGTTTGACATTATATTTTTCATGCACCACTGCAGAGAGGTTGGTTTTTCTTTCTGTCTGTCTAGTGGTGGGGTGGAGTGGGGCAGGGAGTTATAACTGCTACTCAGTTCAGTGAAGGCCTGTGATAAAAACACAATGGCACTGGAGCATATTACAATGGAAACATTGCTGTTTTCACTTTGATTTTATTTATACAAGAGGCTTTATTAACAACAAAGGTGGTAAAATGGTACTTTTTGTATAATAAAAGAGTAAGGAAAAGTAACTATGTAATGGCAGTAGCAGTTACAGAAAAAATAAAAGTAAGTTTCAAATACGAAACTGTCATTTTTTTTTTTTAACATACCAGGTTTAGGGTACTCACTGAACCTTCTTATTCTCTTTCCCTTACCCCTCAGATGAATAAATCAAAGCCATATATATAGCCTTAGCTAGTCAAAGCTCACACTACAGGTTTAGCACCATCTCCCTCTTGAAATCTACTCTACTGATACATTATAATATTACTGCCATAGATGTATACGGTTGTGTATCTTCATGACACACACACACAAAAACCCAGCAACAGGCTCCAGACCTCAACAGAGCCCTCACGATGAGTTTTTATCCACATTTGTTATAACAGGGTCCCTTTTATCCTTTCCATCTTGCCTTCATACACATTTTCTCTAAGAACAACAAGAAGCAAAAGTGATACATACCATTCTATGTAAGTTTACTCGAAAATTCATGTTGTCATCATGTAAAAACGCATTGGCATATTGATCCTAACAAAAATCAAAACACAGAAAAAAAGTAAGAAATAAGAGCTATGCAGAAGAAACTTGTTTTCTGATCTAACACACTTCCTGCAAATGTTTGGACTTTTAGACCAACTCTTAGGGATGACTTGGAGAGCTTGTGGGATGAGTCTAATTTCTCAGTGTGTCACTAACTGGCTAAAAATCTCTAAGCAAATCACAAACAACAAAAAAATTAAAGAGCGCAGGAACTTGAGGCAAATGCTGAGAGAAATCTGTTTTCTTAGTCTCTCTTCCTTCCCATCTGGCCCAAGGAGCCTCCTCTGTTTGTGACAGCTTGAAGGTTTTCATGGGGGCTGCAGGATTCATGTTTAGACTCAGCAGGAGAATGTACAATTAAGGCCTGTCCTCCACTGGGAATGGACTTGGGCACAGCGGGAGAAAATTGCTACCCAGGACAGCAAGTAGTAGGTAAGACTCCGTCTACCCGGCTTCGCTGAAGTCTGATAGAAAATCAAAAGCCTCTTACTGTGAATCAGTAATAACATCCCTTGGCACTTTCCCAGCACCTTTTCTGAAGATCTGACATGACTACAGACTCCAATTACTAGGAACTGTTACAATCGTGAAAAACAACTCTTAAAGATTTTCTTAGAAAAAATTTTGAGAAGCAATTACACCAGGTCCACTGCTAATAAGCAGCTCTCCTATAACCAGCTACCCTAACCCGGAGAAAAGTAGGTCATCTTTTCACAGAGAACATAAAAGGAGAAGACAGAAAGATCCCTCCACTACTCTACCTAGACCACCTTTACTATTTCTCTTTAAAAAGATCAGAATAAGGAACACTGAAAGGGGATTGAAGCTAAAATTTTAGCTCTAAATGACTCAAATTCTACCATACCTGTGGATACCACCAAGACCCTGGATGAGTTCAGGCCAATTAATCCAACCAAAAGTGCCTCCTTACAAAGTTAAAGCATATCTTTGGTCTCTTGTTCTCCTCCAAACTGTTACCAGCCCAACTTTATTCACTTTCCAATTCCCCTCTGTCTTTTGTCTTTACATCCCCCCATAGGAAACCTGAACTCCCTTTTTCATTTTGCTGAATGCAAAAGACCTAACAAGAGCTGCTTCAAAGGGGCTGAATTATTCTTCCTAAAGAGGCTTAAGTCCCTTATTTAAAACTCTTAAGAGCTAGAATATTCCAGTTCTCAGTTACAGTAGTTATCATACCACAATTCAAGATTAATTCATTCAATAAATACTAATAATGCTCTAGTCTGTGCCAGACACTGAGAATATGCTGATATAGGGACCTATTATTGGGGCTTACATTCAAGTGGGAGGAAAGGACAATTCAAGGGGAAGTTTTTCTGTCCCAAGCTTTGGGACCCTAGAAGACAGGAGACAGGAACTTTTTTTTTTTAAAGATTTATTTATTTATTCATACAGAACTGGGGTACAGGCCAGAGATGTGGAGGGTGAGAGGATTCACCAGAGACAGAGTGGGAGCAGAAGAGGCAGATCGACGAAGTACACTGCTGAGGGGCGCAGCGGGCGGGTTAGGAGAGGTCTGCCGGGTTAGGAGAGGTCTGCCGCGCCCTGTGGTCACCTCCGGGGCAGGCGGGGATTGAACTCATGCGGAAGTGGCTTAAGCCCCTTAGTGCTGTGCTTTAACCTGCTGCGCCACCAGGGAGGGCCCAAGAGACAGGAACTTTTTATGTGATTAGCTAATAGAAGAGGGTTAATGATACCTACCTCTGCAATACAAGTAAGGATAATCAGACAGAGTTTGCCGCTGTGAAGCCGGTGCTCATCTGTAAAGAAAAAATTAACACTTCACATCCAGAGCAAGTTTCTATGGAGAAAAAAAAAAAACATTTACAATTTCTCTCCACACTAAAGACATGAATGAAATTTAAGGTACTACTAGAATGACTATTGTTTTTCCTGGTTATATGTAACAGACACAGTGGAAGGAACTCTCCCTGGTTCTGGTGATCAGACGGACAGCTGACCACATTTCCGAGAGATATCTAATCATGGTAGTGGACCTGACAGTCATGAGCTATATCAAGGCCTACCCTTTGCTTCTGTATCAGTCCTTTGGTTCTGAAGAATCAGGTTCAACCCCACCCTGACCCCCACCCTTGGCCACGTAATTACCAACTTATACTCATCTACCGCAAAATCTAGAAAGGGTTTATAACTGTTCATAAAAACTAGCAATATATAACAACAGGGGTAGCTCATGCTTCTCCTTGCACTGTGTCTATTACACATAAGCAGGAAACTGAAGTCTTGGTCATTTTCTTCCCATCAAAGTTACTTATTTTACAAATATTTTTTAGTACCTTCTATGCAGCAGGTACACGAGATACAGCACTGAACTAAATAAAGGTGTTTAGTTTTTTCAAACATACATTCTAGTTATTAAAAAGAAGGCAACCGTGCTATCAGGATGCTAAGCCCACAAATGACCAAGAGTTACTAACTACATCAATGCCAATTACCAGAACCATCTAAGTTTATTTACTTTCCAGGATCTTTGTAGGTAAGAGGGTAAAATAGAAGTAAGAAGGTAGTCATGGCCCTCCCTGGTAGCGCAATGGGTTAGGAAGCAGCACTGCCTGAGAGCCGCAGCCAGTCAGCGCCGATTCAATCCCAGGCCCTGGAGGTGGCGTGACAGAACCACGCGGCTCCCCTCACAGTGTACTTCATCCATCTGCCTGTTCTGCTCCCCATTCTTACTCTGGTGAATCCTCTCACCACCCCTGTACCTCTGGCTTGTACCCCAGTTCTGTGTGCATAAATAAATCTTTAAAAAAAGAAAAAAATTGTTAAAAAAAAAAAAGAAGGTAGACATACCAGCATATCCAAAACAGACAAATGGCTTACCACATTTCAAATGAGCTTGGACACAGGACACAGGTTACAGCCCATTCAGAAGAAGCTCTACTAACAGGTTAGTGATACAGGAGTGAGCTAACAGTACTCACCATGACATTAGTCTATTACTTCCTATCAACTAATACCTAACAACTAGAGGATATAATAGAGGTTGTGGTCCAGAAATACATGGCCTATCCTTAGAGATAGACAGTGCAAAAAGTCATAATGATGATCCCTGTCTGACATTCCCTATAATTCAGATCAGGTCCCCTAGGTAGCCAGAGAGAAATGTCCCTATCTATACAAAATTGAATTCATGAAACTTTTCTACCCATCCCTGGCCACTCTCTTTCTAATCTTCTAGCACTATCCTTCCTTTCCCCAGAAGATGACAACCAACTCCCAGAGAAAAACCTGCAACTTTCTCTCCACTTAAAAAAATAGTGGGGGCCTCCCTGGTGGCACAAAGATTTAAATCTCAGTACTATCAAGGTATTGCCAGTCACTGCAGCATGAGTTCGATCCCCAGCCAGAGAACTAATTCACATAGTGCAGTAGGCCTCTCCTGTTTCACCTGCTACTCCCCTCAGCAGTGTAATTTCAGTCGATTTGCCTATTCTACTCCCTACTCTATCTCTGGTGAATCCTCTCACCCCTCTGCACCTCTGGCCTACATCCCAGTTCTGGTATACATAAATAATAAAAAGTGTCCTAAATATAAAAATAAAGCAAGTTTCTTTATAAACATCTTTTTTAAATTTAGAAAAGCACAAGACAATAAAAAGCTCAGGGTCTCCCTGGTGGCCTAGAGGTCAAGTTTCAGCACTATCAATCACTACTATGGCCTGAGTTCAATCCCAGCCAGGGAGCTGACCTACATATGGCACAGCAGACCTCTCCTGTCTCACCCACTGCTCCCCTCAGTAGGGTATTCCAGTAGATCTGCCTGTCCTGCTCCCCACTCTGTCTCTGATGAATCCTCTCACTGCCTCTGCACCTCTTGCCTGTACCCCAGTTCTGTATGCATAAACAAATAAATCTTTAAAAAAAAGAAAAAAAGAAGAAAGCACAACACTATGAAGCTATCACAAGTTCAATCCCCAGGCAAGAGGTGACCCCCATGGCATGGCAGACCTCTCCTGATTTGCCCACTGCTCCCCTCAGCAGTGTATTTCAGTCAAACTGCCTGTTCTGCTCCTTACTCTGTCTCTGGTGAATCCTCTCACATAAACACCCCCATGCCTCTGGCCATACCCCAGTCCTGTATTGCCGCGCCAGCACGACAGCAGAGATGGTCTGAGCGAAGGACCCAACATGTATGTATAAATAAATGTCTTTAATAAAAAAAAAAAAAAAGAGGGCCCTGAGGCCCTCCCTGGTGGCGCAGCAGGTTAAAGCACAGCACTGAGAAGCTAAAGCCACTTCCGCATGAGTTCGATACCCGCCTGCCCCGGAGGTGA